TTGCATTCTGGGTTGTTGCTCTGTCATCGCATCAGCAGTTTCTGATTCCATATAGTAAAACTGGGAGAGTGGTTTTGATATTGGCTTTAGAAAACCTCATTAGTCAGATTTTAGCTTCACAATACCAGAGGCTTGGATCCAGATCTTTTCTATCTGAACCCCCTCAAAAATATGCTCATATGTCTGTAAATGGTACCAGTTTTTCCAGTTTCTAATTGTTATATGATTGCCTCTTCTTAAATACTTATGCTTTTGATTTACATAGTAATCCAAACCTCATTTTTGTCCTCTAAAGTAGCAAAATAATTGCACAACTCGCAAATACCATTCAGTTTATAGAACCCTAAACAGATTATGGACTATTGAACTGTCCTTACCTGTAATTGCCATTTTAGTTGTGTTTTGGCATTAGCTACATTTCATTTAATTACCACAGCAACTCAAAAAGTAAAGTAAAATAGGTGGATTGTATGAAAATCCAAAATAAAAATATTTTAATAATCATGGAAAATGATTTAATGATATCCCTAGATGATGATCCTTTTTTTTAATGGTTCCAGATGTCTGTAGACCAAGAATAGCAAGACTGAAGGGACTGAAATGATCACTTTACAGTCCTATCTCAGAGGCTTTGTTTGATCATGCTGGTTACTGTAACTTAATTTGAAGTAAAAATAGTTACATCTCACTCAATTTTTCTTTAGTTAAAATCTGAAACAATTTCTTGAGCTCATATCTAAGCCATGAGCTTCCAAAAAATCTCTGTTAAAAAGGTTGCACAGTAAGTAATTCAAGATGGTAGTAAAAAGTAATCCATCTGCATGTAATTTTTTCCTTCTATGCTTTGCAAACATCAGTATATACAACTGGAGTCAAACACTCACTTTCACTCTAATCAGGGAGCAGCCAGTTTTATGCATTGATTTAATAGAGTGTCTAACACCAGCAGCACAAAGTGGAATATTGGACCCTGCTCCAGCTTCCACTGAAGTCAGTGGGAGTGTCTCCATTCATATCAATGGGAATAAGAGCAGGACTGGGTTTGGTTTTTTTTTGCCTATCAAATCCTTTCCAAATATTTGTATCTTTGAAAAGTTTGGCCACTAGTCAACAGCACAAACGTTTTATGTGAGGCAGATGTGCTTAACTGGCTGAGGTTTGTTTCTCCAGTCGCGGCGACCAGATTCTGGAGGCAGATTCAGTGAGTCTACGCCATGCAGCATTAAGTGAAGCCTATGCCATTTTGAGTGAATGTGGTCCAGGTCCAGTTAGCCTTATCATTAGCCGGCATCCCAACCCAAAGGTGAGGAAAAAATGCTTGCATATGTGTTTGTTCTTTTCAGCTTTTTACTATCATTTGAGTGTCAATATTTGAGATCCAATCAGTAGAGGATATTTCTATGGCCTGTGTGATGTAGGCAGTCATGTGAAATGATTGTAAAGGTCATTTCCCATCTTGAAAGGAATAAATCTATAGCTCTGTTAAACCTTTCCTGCTGTTTTGTCACTAAATGCCAACTGTTACCTTAATGGGATTAGCTGCATTTTTTTTTTTTGGTGGCAAGATTTTTTTAAAAGTCCTTCATCCAGTCCAAATGAATGAGTAACTTGTTTTGTTTTACCATTGTAAGACACTCACGGGCATATTAAGTTTTTCTGAACAAATGTAATTGGGAAAAGATTTGGTAGGGGAATAATAAAGCTCTGACTTATGAGTTTCTAAATACTTATGGAAGCCTGTTAAAGAAGCACAAATACTCCTAATTCTAAGAGATCCTCTTGACCAGAGTAATTTTGACTTCCTATCTTGAAGGTGATATGCATTTTGTAATGAAGCCTCTAGAAATATAATTTAATTTCCGGCAACTCGGATATACACATGATAGGCAAATTGCTGGAGCCTTCCCACCAAGATTTGATACCATCACTCAGGGTTTTGGATCTTAGGAGGAGGAGGCAGCAATGCATCTTGGTTAGAGTAAGAGACAGGGAGTCAGAACTGTGCCCAAAATCTAAGGTCAGCAGAACTTCAGAATAGGCCTATCTACACATTCATTAATGTGCCATAATTATGGCTCATTAAGTTTAGTATCTGTAATGACAGGTACTAAACTTAATGCGCTATAATTGGCACTACTGCACATTAGAGCAAATGAATGATTTTTTAGTGATATTAATGCACATTAGACTAACTCTTCTGCGCATTAACATGGGTTTTGCCTGCCATGCTAACGCACAGTAGAATTAGACTGCTGCACATTAAGAGCCTCCTTGAGATGTGCCCAATAAGACTTTATGTTGTGCCAAGTGGAATTATCATTCCTCGGTTGCACTAAGCCATTTTGTAAACATAATCATTTAGGTAGTCAGAAACAATAACCCCAAGGAGTACAAACTCTTCCTTCTGATTCACTATTTACTCAAATCACCTAGTGATAACTCTTCAAGTTTTCAGATTACTTGAGGGTGGGGAAGGCTGGAAGTGATTCTTCCATGAGGGGAGCAGGTTGGGAAACACATTGGGGAAAGAAGACAAAGATGCCTAGATGAGAGAGCCGAAGCAAGCTCTTTGAATCACAGGCAGTCTGTTCTGTGTTTGAACAGCACCTTACATGATGGGAACCTGCTATGCATAGGAGGCTTATCTGTAGCTGTAAATTTATACCCAGTCCACAGACCATAGTTAAAAATGGAATTTTCTATGGATTCTGTTTGAGAACCCTGATGTAAACAGGGATGAAACCAGAAACTGCCCAATCTTGCTGAACATCTGGATTTTGTTTTTTCTCTTCCTTGTTCAAAAAAACACCTTGCATGACTTGCCTGCCCAGTACGTAAAGACCTTAATCGAGGTAACTATATTATTTTCCTGAAGGTGGCAGCTGGTGTTTCTGGCATCTTTAGCCATATTTACATACTCTTAATTCTAGGCTACTTCATGACATGCAGCATAAGCTCTGGGGGTCAACCTAAATTACCCCTATCCCTGGCTGGAATTGCCCATAATCTCTATAGTATTGCAGCTCTGTTGTATCTTATCCCCAGCCCACCCATAATACATCAAATACATCGGGGCTTGGAAGGGGACCCTCAAAGGGCAGCTGTTGGCATTTTTCTGCAACTGCTACACTGGGGAATCTGGCTTGGCATAGCTTAAGCCAGGACTTTTAAAGCCTCTGTCTGTGCAGCCCCTTTACATAAGATAACACAAGGGCAGCAGGGTGAAGTTCTTGCTGTATGTTCCTCAGCTGGAATGCCATCTCACAAAGTGGAAACAAAGATATTTTTGTTCAGGTTCATGTTGTTTCATACTTTTTTACATAATCCTTCACTTCATCACACAAAAGGTATACAGAGCATTTTGTTCCTGAATATACGTGCTTCAGTATTTTCATGTATTTCCAAAAGAAATACCACAAAGATTTTCTTTCCTCTGTTATTCTGAGTGAATGTGGTATTCATACTATGTTTAAACTGCTGAGTTTGCCTAGGGATCATTCAAATCCTCTTCGTTCAAAGACTTTCAGATTTTTGACCTGTCTTTGTGCCGAGTTTTAATTTGTGTAAAGTGGACCCTATTGAAATCACATTGGATGTATCTGAAAACAGACCTTTGGAGTTATGTAGGTTTGAACTCCAGCAGTTCCTGTTCGAAGATCATAGGGAAACTTTCTGGTAATAACCAAGAGTGGGTGTGTTACAATAATTCAGGGATAATTTCTGTGTTTTAAATACCACATATCAGTGCAGTTTATTTTATATGGGAAAAATGAGTTGACAATGACTGATCATTTTAGTAAAGGAGGGAGGAGGTGAAAGAAGAAATCAGCTAGTATTTCAGTTTTTTAACTGATCGTCTTTTTATTCATAGAATATTTTTGGAAAAAAGGACTGCTATGAATATTTAATCATAATATTTTTATACACATGGCTCAAGAAGTTATGATATAGTATTAATTAGATGAAAGTAATAGCATGATCATGAGTTTGCTTTGTTTATGCAAGTCTGATGCATTGTTTATATTTAATATTCAGGTATTTGGTGTGATACTTTGGCGGGTCCCATTTTCCTGAAACCCCTCATTACCCCAGCTCAGTATCCCACAGGGAAGAATCTGAATCAAGCCAGGACTAGCACTTAGAAGCTCTTGACTCCTGTGCTGAGGCCTCTAAAATAACAGTTAATCTTGAATGAATAATGAATTTGTGGTGATCTGTGTTTAGCAGCTTTGTCCCACAGTAGACTCACAGTATCTGTTTTCTATTAATAATTAGGTTTCTGAACAGGAGATGGATGAAGCAATAGCTCGCACAACTCTGCGTGACAGCAAGGATGCCAGTTCCTCTCCTGTCATGGGTAGGGACAATGTTTTTCTTTGTTGCAGCAAATACGTTTATTAATAATTTTTTTCATATATGGCAACATTTATCTGGCATGCTATTGGGATCCTGGCATTCATTGCTATTTTAGTCTCACTGACAAAATGTCTATTCTACAGTGTTTATTTAAATTCTTTATATTTCAAGAGTAGCTGCTGTCCAGCCCAAATCCTTAGTACTGTGCATCTGTGTTACATTTTTCTAGGGCACCCCTAATCTGAACAGCAGAGTCCCAGGAAGTTACTACTCCATCTGACCTGAGGGGAATGGGGCAGATCATTGTATTTGAGGACACATAGCCAGCACAGGTTTCCTTGTTAAAGAGGAGATTTACCAGTAAGATAACTTAGGTGGGCTGCTGACAAATTGTCAGTGTTGCCTATCAGCTGGGCAGAATTGGAATATCCAGGGTGGATTTGAACCTTGACATGAGCAGTTTGTCAAGTCTGCCAGTTGAAAGTGAATTTGTAAGGAAATATATTAACTCTAATCACATCACTGCTTAATGGAAAGCCAAGAGATTGTTTCCCCTTCTACTGGGATTGACAGAATGGCCAATTAATTTCGAGACAGAAATGTTCAGTTTTCAATCAACCCTTATTTATGCCGAAACATGTTCTCTGACTAGAGCCCAAGTCATTTGGTAATAGACCTTTGCCTGTGGCTTCTGCCCTCCATAGCCAATTGTGCTGAGGTTTTTAATCGGGTTAGAGGATTTACATTAATTTCCTCCGTTTTTTCCCTCAACTCTCTGCTATATGTATATGATGTCAGTTAAGACATTATCCTTTATGACAGGGGTTCTTAAACTTTGTGATACCACGACCCCAAGTTCTGGATGGCGGCGGCGGGGGATGGGGAGCTTGCACACGGCAGCCACTGACTGGTCGTGACTCTCATTTTGAGAACCCCTGCTTTATGATAAAGTGTTGGATCTAGCTCCCAAGCTTAGTGTAGCAGCATATCTGGGGGGATGGAGAGAAACTGCAGGTATATCGTGTAGCTGTTTTGCTGAATAAAATGTTTTGAAATGTTGTAAGTGACTCGGACAATAGGGTGATGTGTAACACCTAAATAGACAGACATATTCAATTTGCTTACATAATATGCTCCAGAGCTTTATTTTTTAAGTATTAAACTAAATCCTGTTTAACAGGGTCTGTGCAAAAGAGTCCATCCCCTAGCATGAAGGCCAGGCAAGGAGAGCCCTCGTCGCCTCTCAGCTGGACAATGAAACGTTTCCTGGAGCCAGCAAGTCGGGTAAAATAATCAAAATTCAACAAATAATGCTGCTTTTAGGCTTAACCTTACCCAAGAATCAGATTGCTGGGAACAAGGGACTTGTGCTTCTTCCCTGCTGCACACATGTTTCTAAAGGATTCTCTTTGTTAAGCCATAATGTCAGTGTTAATGCTGTAGCCACGATGGTCCAGGAATTGTGAGGGGCAAGGATTTTTTTGGTTGACCTTTTTGATTGAAACAACTGGAATGCTTTGCATTTGAAAGCTTGTCTGATCCAGGAAATTAGAGGCCTGTTAGTCTTACCTTGGTCTGGGGAAGCTCTTTGAGAAAATTATCCAGGTGCACATCTGCAAGGGGCAAGCAGGGGCATGTATGCTTAGGGGCAACCAACATGGGTTCATTAGGGGCAGGTCCTGTCAGACCAACCTGGTGGCCTTCTATGACCAGGTCACAAAAGCCTTGGACGCAGGTGTCGCAGTGGACATAGTTTTTCTGGACCTTAGGAAGGCCTTTGATATGGTCTCTCACCCCATTCTCATTAAAAAATTAGGAAAATGTGGTGTCGACACCTACACAGTCAGATGGGTCGCCAATTGGCTGGAGGGCCGCACCAAGAGAGTGGTGGTGGATGGGTCTTATTTGACCTGGAGGGATGTGGGCAGTGGGGTCCCCCAGGGCTCGGTCCTCGGGCCCACACTGTTCTACATCTTCATCAGCAACTTGGACAAGGGGGTGAAAAGCACCTTGTTCAAATTTGCGGATGACACTAAGATGTGGGGAGAGTTGGGCATGCTAGAAGGGAGGGACAGGCTGCAATTGGATCTGGACAGGTTACAGGGGTGGGCGGATAAGAACAGGATGGGTTTCAATACTGACAAGTGCAAGGTACTGCACCTCAGAAGAAAGAACCAGCAACATACCTACAGGCTGGGAAACTCCCTTCTCATCAGCACAGAGGCAGAAAAGGATCTTGGAGTCATTATAGACTCCAAGATGAACATGGGCTGCCGATGTGGGGATGCAGTCAGGAAGGCTAACCCCACCATGTCATGCATCCACAGATGCATCACGAGCAGGTCCAAGGAGGTGATCCTTCCCCTCAATATGACATTGGTCAGGCCGTAGTTGGAGTACTGCATCCAGTTCTGGGTGCCGCACTTCAGGAGGGATGTGGACAACATGGAGAGGGTCCAGAGGAGGGCCACTCGCATGATTGGGGGCAGCAGGGCAGGCCCTACGAGGAGAAGCTACGAGACCTGAACCTGTTCAGCCTCCACAAGAGAAGGCTGAGAGGGGATCTGATGGCCATCTATAAACTGGCCAAGGGAGACCAGCAGGCAATGGGAGAGTCCCTGTTCCCCCGAGCACTACTGGGAGTAACAAGGAATAACAGCCATAAATTGATGGAGAGTAGATTCAGGCTAGACATCAGGAGGCGCTACTTCACTGTCAGGGTGGCTAGGATCTGGAACCAACTTCCAAGGGAAGTGGTGCTCGCTCCTATCCTGGGGGTCTTTAAAAGGAGGCTAGATAGACACTTTGCTGGGGTTGTTTGACCCCGGCTTTCTTTCCTGCCCATGGCAGGGCATCGGACTTGATGATCTGCTCAGGTCCCTTCTGACCCTACCCAACTACAAAACAATGACTTCATCTCAATGATATAGTTGGTCCAATTAAAGATACTAACCAAAAAAAACTCTTGCCTTACACATTAGGCCATAGTGCTGTGATATGGCCACAAACAGCAGTCAGTCGAAAACTTTTATTTAATATGCGCCAGGGTTGTCCAACATCTAAGGAGCCAGGGACCATACCAGCAAGGGCCATGGGCCACCAGAGCTGCATGCCCCCCTGCCCAGCTGCATGGAGTGCCCCCCACAACTGTTGCTCTCTGCCCCACCTTGCTCTGTGCGCCCCTCCATTGCTGCCCCTGTCTCCTGCTGCTGCTTTCCTTGCCTCCTCTGTTGCTGCTCCTTGTGCCCCTCCACTACACGGCATGCCTTCCTGCTGCTGGTGTTTGTGCCCCCCACTGCTGCTGTCTATGCCTCACTCCTGTTGCTTGCTGCATGTCCCTGTTGCACTGCCTGTTGCACCTCCTACCTGTGCACTTCATCTCATATTTAAGTCCTTGACTGCAAGCTCCCCTACTGCACTGCTGGGTTGCAGACACCTCATGCACTGCAGACTGGTCCATGCTGCACCACCCTGCAGTCTAGGGCAGAGGCGGGAGGGGGAACTTGAAGCCCCCCCCAGCAATGAAGGGACTGGTGGGATGGGTAGGACTACAGTTTAACCCCTTGGGGGTTGCATGCAGCCCATAGGCTACCAGTTGGACAGCCCTGGTCTATACTGCAGACACCTTCTACAGTGTGGATGACATAAAAGACTGCTTTTCACATGTCACTTGTCACAATCTGACTTTTTTTACTAAATGCTGTAATGTAATTGAGTATTGTTACAACTGAGCTCTGCTTGGGGTTGAGCTCATGTTGATGAAGAGAGTAAATATGGGGAGTCTGGGTGCAATCCTTGGGTCACTGGACTTACTAATAGACAACTGATTGGTTTCTGTATACTGTTATAGTAGTGGAGCAACTTGGAATCTCCACAAGGAGATGTATTCAGAAGCAGAGAAGGAGCACTTTTAAGTGCAGCCTCTCAAGGGGATTGCAAAGGTGGATGCTTAAATACCTGATTTTTTATTCCCAGATGCCCATGTTGAATACTCCCTGCACACATTGAGAGTGTGCAGAAAACATGGGCATTTTTATTTAGGTGCCTAAACATGGACTTGGGTGTCAAACTTCAGCCACTCAAGTGTGACAACATGGACCTTTAAATGCATTGTTTTTCTGTTCCCTCATTTGTAGACTTGGGATGTTACTCCTTACTTTAATCATGAGGCCAAGGCCTTGTTGACACTTTCCTTGCAGCTACCAGCATCAAGCCAGTAGAGCACACGCATCCATGCTGCTTCTGGTGGCTCCACTGCCACAGGTGTGCCACTGCAATATAAAGTGGACCCTGCCAAAGAGGCTGTGGCAGCCAGAGGCATCTACATGGATGGAAGCAGCAACCAGAAGCATCTTCCACAGGTGTGCCACTGCAGTATAAAGTGGACCCTGCCAAAGGGGCTGTGGCAGCCAGAAGCATCTACATGGATGGAAGCAGCAACCTTACTCTGCTGGGCAGAGGTGGGCTAGCTTTGCTGGCAGGAAGGAGGGGCTTCTTCTGCCACAGAACTCCAGTTCTGCCAGCAAGTTTGTAGCATAGACTAGGCCTTAGAGGTGGTTGTAGGGTAGACCCAAAAGTTGCTTTACAAATAAGTGACCACCAGTCGCCAGTTGGGTTTGTTTTATTTTCAGCAGGGATCTGTCAGTTCTGAAACGGAGCTTTCTCAGTACTTCTCACAAGATGGCCCAAGCCAGCTGTCATTTTCTGACGCTGTAGTAACAGGCTCCAGTGATGAAGAGCAGCTCCGTCAGAAGAGTGGAAGCAGCTCTCTGGATGACAGCTCTCTTCCTCCCAGCAATCTAAGTAAGCAAGAGCAATCTAAGAAAATAACAAGATACTTGTGGGATAGTTGCTGCTTGCATTCTGGTTTGCTTTACTAAATTGCAGCATTTTGATAATTGGACTGCATAGAAATGTCAGCCAACATTTATAATTTGATGCTACAGAAGATGAAAGAAGTAATTTAAAAGCAATGCACATACTGTAACTTTCCAGGGAAGTTTGCCTGGTTTGCATCTCTGAATACATGCGATCAGATTTATATTACAGCCTTGGCAGACCAGGTATAAGTTGACATCACTGCAAGTTGATCATACCAGTAATGATTATCTGCTTGCTCTATTTCTATATAATCACTCTTGAATATCTCTGATATGTGCAACTTTGGTTTTGCATCAGCACCTATGCCTTGGTCTCTTGTAAAAATTGGCTGAAACAACCCTGTTACCTCTTCTTTATTCACTCTTATCTCGTTTTAAGACTTGGATGAAAATATATCTGTTCTCTCTTGCCTATGCCTTTGATATAGCCTCCCACTCATCTGTCAGTTTTCTTTATATAGCTGTACAAAGCATTTTTGACATGGTTTGTCAGAAGGCTACTGTACAAAATATGGTTGTATTATATACAAAGGTTTTGCAAGAAGGGCATAAGAATGAAGTCTTAGAACACCTGACATTCTTAATGAAAGATAGGATGGCTGTTTTGTCTCTGAATTTGTGCCTCTCTCTTTAATTGATTTTGTCCGCTCTGCTATAGATATAAAGAGAATTTCAAAGATATCTTGTTGTTTGAAGTAAAATAAAAGTGCATGTGCTCTTTTCTTTTTGGGGTCATAGTCATAGTTCAGACACATGCTGAAAATAAAACCAGATGTGCAGTAAACAGATTTCAAGAAGCACCCATAAATCATAATACCATCTGTCATTTCTGTTGCTGTGGATGGTAGGTATGTCTTAGAGCAGAGGACATGGAAAAACTTCAGAAAGAAAATATCTCCTCTAATAAATAACCATATAGGTCCTTTTATGAGGAGGTTGCAGTTTAGTCTAAAAATAGCCAAGAAGCACAATTATGTATTTTTTTTTTTTTCCCCCAGCTCCCAAAGAAGCAGGATCCATGAAAGCGGGTAGCCTTGCTTCTCCAAGCAATGGAAAGCCACCTTGTCTTCTCAACAGGCATGTGGAGTGTGTCCGACAGGGTAGCCTTAGTAGCAGTCCCAAGTCTGTCCGGAGCCCGTTTCTGCGACAGAGGAGGGTTGTTTTCTATGATGGTGAAGTTAGCGATGAGGATGAAGATGCCCACTTTCAAAGGGGACAGGGGAACAAGGGCCAGAAAATCACTGAGAAAGACTGTGATATTGTCATCGCCACCTCTTCAGTTGAAATTGATGACGAGAGTCAGGATGGTGAATTACCTCGACACATTGGCAGTGAAGCATCTACTCCTCTCTATGGCAACTCCCTGGAGTCTGAGGATAGCACTCTGGAGCAAATGGACTCTCCCTTCTTTCCAATCAAAGCATTTGATTACTCAAGCATGCCTGAGTTTCGCCCTGGTAACCTGTGTGTGAAGGAGCTCCGAGAGGCACAGCTCGAATCAAAGAGATCTCCTAAGCTGGAGCACAAAGCAGTTACAAGAGTAAAAAGTATGATGAGCACTGAGTGCCGTAGTCTTCCGAGACAGAAGATTGAGGAGCACAGTCTCTGTGATAAGCCTGTTGCAAGGGTACCTCCGCATAGCAAAAAGACTGGTCCCGACAGCTCTGAGCAGAGCAACGTTGAAATAGTGACTCTGGTTCGGAATGAAGATGAATCCTTTGGATTGGATTTGGAAATCCAAGCCACACCCTTAAGAATTATGATAACAGGCTTAAGGCCAGGAGGAGCAGCTGAAAAGGTAATGGTAAAAAAATACAAGTCTGTTTTATTTGGTTTCTCTTTGTGGAGATTTATATTTGATAAAGGAGATATGCACCTGTGCAAATAAGATCTGTTTGGACAACATGTCTCATCTCTTCTCTTTTTAGAACACCATTAAACTAAATGCTGAGAGATGTATGCATGCCCCTGCTAATTTAAGCTTGAAAAAATCAAGAGGCAAATACTGCTCTTGGAATAATCCATGTTAGTAATTATTTTTGGGGGGTTGCTACATTTTTTTCATCTTACCAGAAACAGACCATTTATGTGGCAGGTTACATAGTAGTGACAGAAAGAGGGATAGCTTATCAAGAGGCTTTCAGAATCGTGTCTCAATTTAAAAGGTAACAATTCTAGTTCCCATCTGTAATCACACTCATACCCAACAGGTATGATATGGTCATGACTGAATGAGGTGCCTAGGTGCTGTGGTAGTAATACAAATAATAAATTTTATGTGGCTGTTTTAGCTGGACTTGTTATGCTGGGGATATCTGAGTCATATCTGTATAGAATGGACTTTAAATCACGGAACCATTTGAAGACTTTGTGAGCAGTGTTTAGCACAGTGTTTTAGCACCTCTAGGGTCAAGCTCGATACCATCTCTTAGGCACTCAAATGGGCTTAGGCCTGTAAGGGTGATTCTCTTCTACCCTGTTCAGCTAAGCACAGATAGTGAAAAAGCCTGAGGCTGGATTGATTCATTCTTCACAGGTAAACTGTGGATTGAACTGATAAGCAAGTGAACAGACATTGACTTCTAATTCCAGAAATTCATCCACATGCCTTCAGTGTCCCAGGCCAGAAGCCAGGGAGGAGGGGGACACTAGATCATGCCTCCCTGCTCAGCTGGAGCAGACAGCTTGGTCCAAGGCTAGCCTGCCCACCCTGCAAGGGAGGGTTTGCGGGGGAGGTGCAAAGCTTCCTGGGATGCGGGGGGCTGTGCATTAACTTGACTCTGGAGGGGAACTGGGAAAGCAGTTCAATAAAGTGATTTAACCTAAATCAGTTAAGTCTGATACTATATCTTATCTCAGGTTTATCTTAAACCAGTTTCAGTAATTTTGAAAGTGGTTGATGTGCACTGAACTTCTGTTGTGTTACAGATTTGAACCAGTTTCTAGTCACTTATACCAGTTTATGTATAATTTCTGTTCCTAGCCTTTAAGCCCAGAAAATGCATTAACGTATTTACTTTTGTAACAACCTCATTTTACCCTTAAGATTGAGTCACAAAAGAGCAGTTGCAGGAGTAGGACCAACCCACCTTTTACAGTAGCAGTTTCTTAAGGATTCAGGCAGAGTCGAATAGTATTGTGCTCAAGTCTGTAAGTCAGGGGGACAATAATTTTGGCTGGAGGGCCACTTAAAGAGTTTTGGTGAGCTGTCAAGGGCTGCATGGGTAGTCCCACCCCTTGACAGTTGCCCCGCCTCTGGTCACCATATTGGGACCGGAAATCCTGCCCTGTAACTCCTGACCTTTGCCACTGAATGTGGCAGATACTCTTTCTGGGAGGGAGGGGGTTGCCATCTTAGAACAAGAAAAAAACCAAATCATACACTAAAAGTCAAAAACGTACTATAACATAATTTAATTTTATTACAAAAAATATTTTTGACGTGTGTTTGCATAGTGCATATGGAGGTGATCGCATAATAACTCAAAAATAAGTCTTAGTCTTGTATATTGTAGGTGGTGGGTGGTAGGGGTCTGTGGTGGAGTGTGGGGATGTGTGTATGGTGGGGTGTATGTTTGTGTGGGGGGGCTGTGAGGGGGTGTGGCTGTGTGTGGGGGGGGACATAGGGTATGTTGGAGTGTTGGTATATGTTGGTGTGGGTTGTGGGGGTAGGATGTGAGTGTGTGAGGTTTGTGGGATGCCAGCAGCAGCAGCAGGTGGGGGTGCTCAAGGTATTTGTGCCCAAAACAGGCGCTGGTGCACGGCCGAGTGCGGTTCCGGCCAGCGCTGTGCATGGGAGGACACTGGGGAAGCTAAGTGGGTCCCCATGGGGGTGGCTACAGCAGGGGCAGCAGCAACCCCACCCAGAAGCTGTGTGCTGGCAGGGCTAGGCCCTTCCACCCACAAGGGTAGGAGCAAGGTGTAATAGGGTATATTGTGGGGGAGGTATGTGTGGACACCTTGCTCCCACCCATGTGGGTGGGAGGCTTGGGCTGGACACAATTTGTTGGTGGGCACTGCGGGCCAGATGAAAGTGCCCAGTGGGCCATGTTTTGCCTGCCCCTGCTCTAAGTCCATTTATGTACCTAATAGGTGGGACAGAATCTGGCCCTCAGTGACTCTTTACCGCTGAGAGGAAGTATGGCATGTCAATTTGAGTTGGGCTTTTGGAGTTGGGACTTCTCTGCCCTACTCCTATTTCTGCCACCTATCTTTTTTTTAATGCTGGAAAACATATTTAGCCTGTCCCCCAAAAGCCTGATTCCAGCCATGGCATCCAGCCATGATTAATGTCATTAAAAGATTCCACTTAGTTTAATGGTTGTATTGGGTCCCAAGCCTCATGGCAGGATGTGGTAGATAGGAGACAACATTGTTGAGAGAAGCCCTTGAGACGTTAGAACCAATTACACCAGAACCCCTTTAGATGAAAGGGACTGTGTTAATTTTCCTCATAGCACTGGGCCATGGAAAGAATAGGAGGTCTTGCCGTTGTTCCCCTCTTGTGAACCCCACAGGGCCAGGCACAGTCTGTATGCCTGCTTCCTTGACTGTGAATGAAGTGTTATCAGTGTTCTCTGTCCTGTAACTTAGAAATTGGGAGTGTTGCTCTGAAGCCATTGATATTTCTATTACAAACTGCCCTCTGCTTCTGGGACTAAGCCTTTCAGGTATTTACTTTCATTCATATCTGTCATTCTATCAGGACTCAGAGGGAAAGCTGGCTGTAGGAGATGAGATTTCTTCCATCAACAGTGCCCCTGTCAGTGGAATGACATATGAGGAAATCTGTCTGCTTATGCAGAATCTCCCTACATCTGTGACATTTGGGGTGCAGAAAGCAGTGCCAGGTAAGGGCATTTTCTGACAACACTGAAGCACGGGAAGGCTTGATCAAGCATTTTGCTAACTTGGCTTCCAAAGATAATTTGAGTGGGAAGGACATTATTTTTAGGATGATGATACAGCATTTTATTGATGAGCCAGGGTTTTCCATCATTTACAGCATGCATTGTTATTCTATACTAAATGTTGAAGGCACAGATTTATAGTACATCTCTTCCCGTACAGTATTTAGAAGTTTTGAGCCACTTAAGGGGGACTCAAATTAACCCATCAGTAGCTTGAAGATGTCAACAGTAACCTTGATGGCCATTCTTTTTCCAAGATTAAGTACTTTGATCCTCGTTAGTCTACCAAGTCTCTTGAAATGTAAGGTTTAAGTAGTATTTTTTGATCGGACAAAAATCCAGATTTTTCCCTTGATAAATCCCCCAGTAAGGATATATGTGTGTACTGCAGTCTCCTTGTACCCACTGTTTATATGAATTCTGCAGCATGGAAATGATGTTTGGAAAAGAACATTGCTTCTCAGCTTCTTGGAGGTTCAGGTGAATGGAAGAACAGTACAGTACTACATTTTGTTTTATCCTAGCTAGAATACACTCTAACTGGTCTATATATGGTGAATTTCCCTAACTATCTTCCTGATGCTTGTGAGGAATTCCTGGTAGGCCAGGTACTTCTCTTCCCAGTTCCTCAGGTAATCCTGAGCATCACAGAGGCTTCTGGTAGGAGGGGTATGTGCAGGTTGGCACTCTTCACAAGTGTGCACATTCCTTCCTGAGATATATATTTGTGTGTGTGTGTGTTTGGGGGTAGGGTGGGGAGAATGGTGGCAGGTATCAGTCATCTATCTGGGATTGGATTAAGTGTTTATTAGATGGGAAGGAAGTTCTGAGTCACAAATCCTGTAAACACACGCACTTAACTTTACCCAGGTGTGAGAAATTAATTACATGCATAAGTGCTTACAAGATCAGAGCCAAAATATTTTCTGTTGATCATCACTGGGGCATCTAAGCACCTCTAATTATTTTGCTAGTCTTCGGGTACTTAACACAATTATGGAGGGCAGGTATTACCTGTTCTTTTTCCTAATTCTGTTGGTTAATAGGCCTGTCTTGTTGCATACTTGTGCTATGATGATGAGCATGCTGTTTCGATTTCAGAGTTTAAAATAAAACTAATCAGAGTCACTAAAAGTGTCTCCCTTGAGTATGTTGTTTTGGTCACACTGGAATGTGATTACTTCTGAAGATTGTGAAAATCATAGCGTATTAAAAGAATTGCAGGGAAGTTAGGAAACATCAAAGGGGCTTATAAGCGTGTCTGGTTTTGCTCATATTTTGTGCTTTGTTTTCCATATCTAATTGAAGTTAAGTGATTCACTTGCTTTTTTAAATCTTAATTCAGATGTGGACAGACTCACAAACCTCAACATACTTTCAGAGCCAGATGCCCAACCCAGCAGCAGCGTTGTAGTTGAAGAAGGAATAGCATCTGGGAAACTAGAAAAAGGGACTCACCGGAGTGATGGTGTAGACCTTGTCACAGAAAGAACAATGCTGCCACCTTCCGCCACGACCAAAGAGGTGCAAGTAGGTTCTTCAGAAATCGGCTGTGCTGAGGTCAGTGCTGTGATTCCCATCACGGATATTGATGACTTGCTCAGCAAACTGAATTCTTCAGAGGACAGAAGCTCTCAGTTGCCACCAAGAGCAGTGAGCCCCATTAGAAAGGAGTGCACTGCCAAGCATAGCTGTGGGACAGAAGAGGGTTGTCCCACTAATTCTGAGCCAGAGATGGTGAAGAATGAGCTATCTGAAAAAACTATCAATTATGCGGCTAATGCACAGGGGATCTTGGGATTATCAGTGTTGGATTCCATTAATACAGGCAAGCTTTTTACTGTGAATAAAAACTGTTTAAATAACTATTCTAGGAATTTTAGCAGTTTGAGTGAAGACAGTTATTCTGGAGCTGATTCTGTGGAAGACAGTAGAAACAGCCCATTTCCAAAGTCTATGTATGGTGCTGCAGAGGACTCCCACTCGGACACAGAATCACTCACAGAAGCTCCTGATGCTCCTGGAGACGTTTTACTTTTGCCATCTGTTGCTGATAATTCCTCAGGGACCCGTAATGTGACAGAGTCAGATGAGGAACAAATTGAAATTTGTTGCATGAATAATGAGCCGCAACAGTCTGCTCAGGAGCAGTGGCTTGTGTCTGCTGCAAGCTTACCCCGGCAATTCCCACCACAGCCACACATTGCAAAAGTTTCACAAGCAGAGGATTGTACAGGACATGGTTCATCAGATACAAAGCTCCACAAACCTCTGTCTCTAGCAGAAGATCAAGGGTGTCCCATTCCCCCACAGCATTTAAATAGTGGAAATATATTTCCCTCCACTTCCTTACACTCTCCTTCCTCAGATACTTTATCGGATAAAGATACCCTAAAAAGTTCAGTAGCTTGTGCTTTCCATAACAATGGTGCCTTAAGTACAGAAGACCGACTAAGCTTAGAGATCAGTGAAAAGTCTATGGAGTCCTGCGAATCTTTACAAGACGATGTATCTTTGCAATGCGAAAGAATAGGTTCCTGCATGAGTAGAAGTGTTAACAGCTTGGAGATCCATTTGCTAGACAAAGAACACCCTGATAAAGAAGAGGGATCCAAATTTGAAAGAGAATTGGCAGCTGATGATTGCAGTCACATCGTTGGTTATCATTCTCTTTTGGTGAAGAACGAAACAAATAGTTTGGCTAACTATAAAGCAGAGGATAATCATGTGCACTCTTTATTGCAAAGAGTGACATCCAGGTCAACCCTTTCTCCAAAATCAAAAGATCTAAGTAAGACTAGCACTGCTCCTGACTTGTCAGAGAAAAATGAAAAAGTTAATGCTGTAACTTTGGGAAGGGGTTCTAATGCCAAAATCCAGAGTTCCAGTACAAATCACTTTAAAGGAGTCACTGTACCACATACTCCTTCCTCACAGAAAAAATCACATCAGGAATCCAAGGGAATGCCCCAAAAGCATGTAGTAGAAGCACTATTAAATAACCAGAGAGCCAAAACAGGACAGAAGCTAAAGGGTCTAACCATCAAAAGTAAACTAAAAGCAAATGCAGAACCTCCTAGCCCTAATCCTGCAAAAAGCAGTGGGATTGATCAGCGAAGGATTTCTACTTCTCCACAGTTATCACCCAAGCTTCTCATAAAGAAAGCATCAGTGCCCCATAACATGCCTACAAACACAGAACCTGGCAAGAGCTTTTCAACAGCCTCAAAGGCTCTTAAATCAGAGCATGAAAATAAGCTATCTTTACTTGCATGTAAAGAAACATTTTCCCCCTTGCTGAATGGTGACAACAGCCCAACGCAGAGTAGTGACACTAAAACCAATGGCAATGGTGAGCTAAATGTTAGTGGGGAATCAGAACACCAGAGGGGATGTGGAAAGCAAAAAGAAAGGCCAGCTTCAGTGCAGTGTGAAGAAAAAGGTGATAAGACAAATGGTGATAGTTCTAAAACAAAAGAAGATCAGTTCGAAGTAACCATGTCTCCTAATGGTACACCAAAAAGTGAGCATGCAAAAAAGAGAGTAGAGAATCATGGAACAGGTCTGAACTTGATAAATAGTTATTATGGGGAAGGCAACATGAAGCCATTCGGTCCTCACATCATAGGAGTATCTGACAAGGACTCTTCCTCATTGAGGTCTTCCCCAATTCAGCTGGAGCAGCCAGAAGGACAGGAAATTCAACGCACTTGCATTGAGGTGAGGCTCTCCTCCTCCTCCTCACTGGCACCATCTTCACAGCTGCTGCTGTTGGAAAAGGCAGAAGGTAGCAATAAAAAGATCAGCCACTGGACCGAGGAGCTAGGGACTGCACAGTATTTCACTAGAATAGATGCTGTTGGGAGTGGAAATCTATGCTGTGGATCAAAACCAGTGTCAAGGACTTACTCAGTGCCAGCTCAGTTATCAAGTCACCTGAGGGAAGATGGTGCCATTATAGGTGTTCCAGCACACCATATGCAAGATCTTCAGAGCCATGTTGCAGGTGAAAAATGCACCCAAAAAGAGCCAGGCATGTTAAAAATTGTCCATTTAAATATGCTGAATGGCCAGAGCACCCAGGGTGAAAGAGAACAGGCATACACTTCCAAAAGTATCCCAAAACCAAGCCTTGAGGAGCAGCCTTTTGCCAATGAAAATAGTTGCTCTGTTATAGATAAACAAAAACCTTTCAGAAGAAATTATTACTATTATGAACTGAACTGGCCACATGACCCTACTTCATCCTTCTCTGTCAAACAGCGGATCAAATCCTTTGAGAACCTGGCACACTTTGATAGATCTGTTAAAGCTGTAGACATGCACTCCACCTCCAGCGGTTCTAAATCACCTGTTGGCAGAAGATCTTCTAGTGGTATCACTTCCATTGCCCCTGCCGGTCCAAGTGATGCAGCGCGGGCACTGAGACGAAGTTTAAGTTCATACAGCGATGGTCAAAGCAACATTCCACCATCTCCACAGCTGACAAAATCATCAACAAATATAGACTTAGCCCATGTGCAGAAGAATTCAACAGAAGGCAGCAAAGATGATGCAAATTTGAAGAAAAGCAAGGGTGAAGGTACTTCAGGGGATCTGAATGTCTTGCTTCCCCCCGTGTCCCATATGCGGAGAAGCAGAGGTCACTGCAGGCAGTTGATGTCCCGTTCAAAGCTCAGGGAGCTCAGAGCACTGAGCATGCCTGATCTGGACAAGCTGTGCGATGAGGACTTTTCAGTGGAACCTAAGACCACTCACTTCAAAACTGAACTGGAAATTACACCTAGGAGGTCTCTTGGCCTGCCTGCTGAAAGTGATGCAACTCAGAGTGCTTCTCCTGCCCTTTCCAACCTTGCAAAGTTGAACAGGCTATCTTCCAGAGGAAGTGCTCCTTGGACCACTGGCTCAGGAGCTCCTGGCTCAGCATCTGATGATGAAGTACCACGTGATAGCTACCTGGGTCAGAAACACTCAGGAAGAAGTTGGTCAATCAGGTGAGTTTAATGTTTTTCTAATAACTTTTTAAAAAAATATCTGTAAATGAGAGAGGTAATTTCCTAAAATACCATTGATTTTTCCTTCCTGCTGGCTTTTTTTCAGGCAAACTTTCCAGTTATGTAGGATTGGGCTCCAAACCCATCCATGCTCATTCTGTTTCAATGGGAATGGCTTTGGATCAGGTCCTTCGTCTCGTTTCAGTCATATGTAGCATTCTTCCTGCTTTATTTTTGAGACCTGTTGTATTGTTTCTGGTGATCAGTATCCCTTGCCTAGCTCCATTTCAGTGAAGGCTTAAATGTCCTTACTAAAAGGACTGGATTTCAGCAAACTCTCTTTGGCAAGATCACAAGGGCCACCAACTCCTGGAATCAGCGCATTGAAATAAAGCCACTACGATTTGAGGGTACTGAGCCCTTTACAGGAGATCTGCAGCTTTTTCTCTCCTTTCCTTTCTTCTGTCCACAATTGGCTGTTAGCGTAGCCTGCCTTTCCCAGTATAACAATTAGCAAATTGATTCTCACTCAAGTAGTGTCTTGTAAATGTAGCTCTCTTGATTTTTATACAGTTGGTTCCTAAAATCCTTAGGGAAAAATCACAGCCTGACTTTTTTTTATTTTTTTAAGGCCTGTTTTAAATCATCCTCTCCTTTTCTAGCCACAGTGTAAATTATTTTGACACTGAAAATAATTGCTATGTATGCAGTCAGCAATGTGACTTTCATAAACTGACAGTGCTAAAAGTGCTACAACAGTTTACATCTAAGGGTGCTATATTGGAAATGCTATCTCTTACTCATTTAATGAAATAACAGTTATACAACAGATTAAGTAGGTGTTAGATGTAAAGTAAACCATAGATATTGAAATACGTCTGTGAACTCCCCAATAGCAATATAACTTACTGCTGTCTTTTACATGTATGTATATATTCAGCTTGGATCAGCTCTTGGTCTCAACTCTGGACCAGCAGAAATTGCAATCTGTTTTGTCATCAGTGATGGCAAAATGTGATGTCATCACTATGCTCCAAGAAGTTAAAATGCAAGCAGAGGTAAGAAATGAAAGATCAAAACTCAGAATGTGTGGCCAGGGCTGATGAATTATAAATAAAGAGTTACTGGTATTTTTTAAAATTGTAGGTTTATATATACTCCAAATAATTTTAAAATTCAGCTTGTAGCCTTGTTCTCTATGCTCTTTTATTATCAATAGTACCACTACACATGACTTTAGAAAATCTCTGTACTTTCATAATGTTGATTTGAAAGGCCTTATTATATAGATCAGAGGCAGGCAATTATTTTGGGTGGAGGACCATTTACGGAGTTTTGGTGAGTTGTCAAGGGCAGCAAGGGTAGCCCCACCCCTTGATGGTTGCCCTGCCCCTCGCCACCATATTGGGACCTGAAGTCCGATGCTGTGCTCCCCCATCTCCCCCTGCCCCCCCCCAACCCCTGACATTTGCCACCAGAAGTCCCTCCCCTTGCCCTGGACATACTCCTTTTGGGAGGGAGGGTGCTGCAATCTTGAAACTGGAAAAAAATCCCAAATTATATACAACCCCAACCCCCCCCGCCCCACAATAATTTATTTTAATTTTATTTAAAAAAAAAATTTGTACTGATTTATGTTTGTAAATCTAAAGGTGATTGCATAATAGCTCACAATATGGTCCTACTGTGTGTTGTGTCTGGGGTGCGTGGTTGGGGAGTAAGGGTGTAGAGTGATGTGTGGGGTATGTGGTTGGGGTGGGGGCTGTGGGATTATGGTGGGTGAAGCGGGAGAGAGAGAGAGATAGACAGTCCTGCCGCCCCAGCCTGGGTCCCCAGTGGCCCCAGGGCACTGGCACGGGCTCCACATTCCTGCCTGCCACCACCACACCCCTGCCATTTTCCTGCTTTACCTCCTGCACAGCTGCCTGCCCTTGCTGCTGCCACTTCTCCTGGCCCCAGCTGCTCCCCTTGCCACCGCTGCTTCT